CTTTTCTGTTCTGTCTTTCTTTCTGTCTACAAAGCCATGTACTGTATTTGTAGATGATTGTTTTGAGGAAAAGAAAAATATAGATGTTTTGTTCCGCTGCATTTGATGATTCATAATAGCTCTGTGTCTGTGTGTCTGTTTGAGTTAAATTATTTGGAAGATTCGGTTCCGAACCAAATTCCATAACCAGATCCTGGTCAGTAAGTCAGTCAGTCAGTTCGTTCCGGTCGCGACCCAGTGCGAGCGGGATCCGTCCCGGATCGGGTCGGGTCGTGACACAACAATCCTTCCGACCTCCATCGCCAGCCGACTACAATCCTTCTAACTTATGTCACCCGTCGACTACACTCTTTCCAACCTCCGTCACCCATCGACTACTGTCCATCTAACTTACGTCGCTTACCGACTACAGTCTTTCCGACCTCCTTCGCCAGCCGACTATAGTCCTCCTGACTTATGTCGTCCGCAGACTACAGTCTTTCTGACCTCCGTCACCAGACTATGGTCCTCCCGACCAAACGAACAAGTTAATAGTGACTCTTTGTATTCACATCATGTAATGTACTCTATAAAATGTAGATCAAGCTAAGGTCTTCTCCCAATGAAGGGTCTCATTTGTAATCAACTGCTATACTAGTGGATTCATTCAAACTGGGCCAACCCACGTGGTTTTTCCCCCTTTTTAGGGGTTTTCCATGTAAAAAACTTGGTGTCTCATAAATACTAGACCCTCTCTCTTATCTGATTGCGTGCCGGATTTTCGTACAACGCAAAGACATTAAACTTTATATTTCTCTATCGGTGCGAATACTCTTAGACAGAACAAACTCAAATATTGGAAAATTCATTAAAAATATAAACAAATTCATAGAGAATTCAAATAAATTTCTATAAATATATAAAATCAAGACTAACAATAAATTAAATAAATATTTTAATTAACATTTCATTTTTACCCTATATTAAACAAAATTTCTAAATGACCTACGAATAAGAAAATTCAAGAAAAATTCAAGAAAAATCAGATAAATATGAAATAAAATTCTATAAGCTCAGAAAATTATGACAAATAATATCGTACATCATGTCAAATAAAAGTAAATCTAAAATAGTAGTGTTTTTTAATAAATTCTTAAGAGGCCAAGTAAATGACATAAAATATTAAAAATTAATTAAGAATAAAATAAATTTAGAATTAAAAATCAAATCTAAATTAAAATTAAATTAAATATAATTAAATCATGAATAAACTTTTCTAAAATCCACCAAATACACTCTAAATAAAATCCTTAACTTATAAAAAATATATATAATTGACCTATAATTTTAGTCCATCTTTTTAAATGAAATAATTATATTTTGTTTGTGTATTAGGACTTATTAGTAAATAAAGTAATTTGTATAAAAGACTATGTTCTTTAATTTGTTCTTGAGAATATAAAACTACAACTTAGATAATAAATTTTGAAATTTTAATACATCATTATTTAAATTGAAACAACCCCTGGCATTAAACAATAAAATTAAAAATTAAAATTTAAAGCCTAATAGGTTAACACCTGGCAAGCATAATAGGTTAACACCAACACAGTCTAGCACACACTTTAGTTTATTTGTTAGGTCAACCAATCCTAGCTTTAGTTAGGAGCGTTATTATAGTGATGTACTTCTATTAATATATTTGTTAATAAAAGAACTTTAGTGATCTTGGTGGATGTGTCTAACTTATTTGGGTGAGTGATTGCCTTTTTGTTTGTGATGCTGTGATTTTGTGATGGTAGTTTAGATTTTTCTAGGTTAGGGTTGATCTGAATGATTTATACAATCAAATTTTATGCAGATAGTTATGTTTATGCAGGGTTATAAAAGATGGCTAATTAATTAAAGTTTAAAATTAACCAAATTTAATACATATGTTTATGATGCTCAACCCCCTAATTATTAAAAGCATGACCAATAAATAGGTTGCTCAATTATTGATCAAGTTCTTTGGTGATTGTGTGATAAGATTTGATTAATTTTCTTTACTAATTTGTAGGGAATATTAGATTTCTCATATCTATAGCATGTTACATGATACACTTAGATAAGACTAAGTAAAGGATCACAAATCCATTTTTTAATATTATTCATACTAATAACTACTGTTAATATGGATTGATATTATTCATACTAACTATCACATGTTCATACTAATTTGAACAGTTACATGCATTTTTTTTTTACATAGATTGAATGCATTTGTAAGTTCTACAAACATATTAGGCTTTTTGCTCATTTTATGTGACTCACATGATTTTAGGGAAGGATGAGGTTCTAATGATGGAGTGAGTCTGATTTAGAATTGCTTATAGTATTTTTTTTTTTTATGGTCATGAATGAATAAGGATAGATTGATGTGAGATAAGTATTTATGGCTATCATACACAATGCTTTTGGGGATATGAATTAAATGTATATGTATTTATGTTGATATGAAATCAAATGCTATTTTCATTGTATTGGACTATGCATATATATGCTATTAGAAGGCTCTCATAGGTAATTAGAAGATTTAAAAAGTGACAATATTTTTAAATTAGATTTTGGAGTGTCAGATCATAGTCGACAAATGATGGAGGGCGGAAGGATTATAGTTGGCATAGATGGTTGGAGGATCTTAGTTGGGTGATCGTGGTATAAGGATCATAATTGACAATGAAGGAGGTTGGGGAATGTTGTAAGTGGGTGATTGAGGTTGGAAGGGCCGTAGTTGGGCGACATTAGTCAGAGGATCATAGTTGGCAGGTGATGAGAGCATTGTAGTCATCATGTGATGAAGGTCGGAAGGACTATAATTCAGGGGTGATGAAGGTCAACAATTATGGTAGGGCGAAGGCTCAGCAATGGAGCTCAGGGATCTTTAGAGCTTTTAGAGCTCTCTTGAATCTCAATAGAGAGTTCAAGCTCTAGCTCAAAAGCTCTTCTTTCCCCTAAATATAAAGTGTATATGTCAATTTATAGATTTGTGAAAGTTTCATACATGAAAATATGGAGAAAATATTGAATACTCCATCGGATGACCCATCTTAATTCTTTTAATCATAAAGCATCGTTTTAAGTGTCATGATGATATTAGAATTACGCAATCTTGGGCTCATTTGGTTTGTCTTATCGAGCCGCTTGATTCAACTATAAGCATGCAATATTTAAAGATCATTTTGTCATCCAATTAATGTCATAAAGTTTTAATTATGTTTTAGGCCCTTAGTTTGAACTTATTTAGGCTACGATTAGGTCATTCTGGTGTTGTTAAGTTCGCCTAGTTCAGATTTTTAGTTCAATTATAAGTTTGCTTAAATCTGAGTTCGGATGATTCAAAATTTAGTTTTTGAAAGTTTCCAATTCGAATATGCCTCGAGATTCTAAGCCAATCAAGTTGATTTTTTATGACGTATCAAATCTCAATTAAGCTCAAATTCAAGCATATGTGGTATCTTTAAGTTTATCTCATTGAAACACTTTTTCTTAATTATGATATTTCTAAATATAAAATTTGGATAATCTAAATTAATCATGAAATTTTTAGCCAACATTTGATGCTTGATAAAATGGCATATAGGGAACAAAAATAAATTCAAACAATAAATTAAAAAAATATTAAGTTAAAATTAGTATAAAACACTAAATCTTTAAATTTATTAAAATTAATCATGATTTTTTTTTTTTAATTTTCTAATGCAACATGGATTAACTCATTTAAAAAATGATATGTAACCTTTATTATTTTCCTCAAGTACAACGCCATTAGAGACCTGAAGACGGGACCACGACCTCGACCACAATAACACTGTCAACCAAATCCCCAATCCTCTCCTCAATCGCCACAAACTCCTCTTCCCCGTCCATCCCCTCCATCTCCTCCACCCCGGAAAACCCCAATAGCAAACCCACCTCATACCCCTTCGCCCTAACCTGCGAGAAATTCACCCCCCAGCTTAACTTCGACGCCCTAACCTCGTCGATAGCCTTCAAGATCTCCGCCGCTGGCGTCCCCTCCCGCGGCTTCGCTATCAGAAACCGCATCGCCGATCCCGGTGACGGAACGATCTCGCCGTCCAGATCGGCGACCCAATCGACAGCGAAAATGTCTTCGATGATCGGGACATTCTGGTGGACGACGGCGAGGTGGTAGGGATGGACGGTGTAGGCGGCGAGATCAGGTTTGGAGAGGAAACGGCTGTGTAGGAAGTGAGTGAAATCGGCGGCCGGAGAGCGGCGGCGGTGGATGGGACCGGCGGCGAGGTGGAGGACTAGGTCGAGGGAGGAAAGCGAGCGATGGGAGGAGACCATGGCCTCGATCTTCGAGGGGTCGGTGGAGTCGCGGACTTTGAAGAGGACGAGGTGTTCGATGATGGTTGTTCGGGACATGGATGGCCACAGGGAAGGAACACTGTGAGGCGTTGAAGATTGGAGAGGTGGGAAGTTTATTCAGCGGTAACCTATTATTTTATATCGGTAGAATTTGAGCTCATTGTATGCGTCATCCGAATATATTTATATAGATATTGATTGTGATCAATCTGTTTTTGTGTTTCATAGTATTTTAATTTGGGTTAAATAAATATTGTTTTAGGCAGTTTTTTTTTTAAAAAACTTTTAGTTAAAAAAAACTGTACTAAAACTTTTTTAATACAAAAAATTTGTACCCTAAATTTATACTATTATTATAAGTATGAATTGAGTTTTCACCCCATCAAATATTAATCGTCCATTTTATTTATTGAAAAATTGCCTCTTCATTATATATATATTTGAAACATATTTTTTTAAATACCCTTTGTATTCGGCTCTTTGTATCTCCTAAATTTATACTAATATTAAAAAGCATCTTGTGATTCCTCCCTTAGCGAATAGTGGCCGTTTATTTTTTTTTTAATAAATATAAATTTCCACCGTCTGATCGTGCCTCTTTGAATTCACCAACTGTTAGCGAATCATGGTCGTTCATTTTCTTTAATAAATACAAATTTTTCACCGTCTAATCGCGCCTCCTTGAATTCCCCCGCCGTCCCATTTATTTCATGTTTTTAGCTTCGCGCACATGGGAAATATCAAAGAGTTGTTGAAGAAGCTCTTCACTACTGTCAGATCGGAAGGCACGACAGGTGAGCAGGGGCGAAAGCCCTTTAAAGTCAGGGGGCAACCCCCCCCTAAAAAAATCTTTATTATATAGTTTCTAGGTATATTAATCTTTATTACATGTTTTTTTAGGCAATTTCCTGCCACCCACCCCCCCCTAAAACTTTTAAAATACTATGATCTTTAGGCAATTGCCCCCAACAAATAGTAAAATCCCGCCAGGGGGCGCTGCCCACTTGCACCCCCGACAGTTACTTATAAGTTTGTCTCCCTGAAAATTAAGTTTAGTTTCGCCCCTGCAGGTGAGCTAGCTTCGCAGGAGGAGTTTCGAAAGAGTCGCTAAAAGGAGTTCTCAACGATTGGAAGCCACGATGGCAGAGCTCGAGCTTTACTTTTTGGTTCTTCTTCGACTTTGCGTGAAGGGAAGTTTTTAAATAGTCGTTAAAAGAGCTTTTGTCCTTCGTTTTTCTTCAGCCATGCATGAACAAGCTTTGGATGCTCGTTGTGAAGGTAATGATCTTTTCAGTCCTTTCGTGTGATTCTTCAGCTAGATATTTCTATTTGTTTATAGGCTTTATTGATGTTGAGGCTAATTTCCTTAGTGAGCGTTTCCTCTCAAGTGTAATGATTTTTTCTTGCTTACTTTTCAATGTTTAAATATTTCCTCAAGAATTTTGAATACTTGAGTAAATCCTTTGATGAGTAACCAATTGCCTTGAATAGTTGGAGATGTTAATTTGTGTTCATTTTTAGTGAGATATGTGTTCATGATGCAACTTAATTTTTCATTTGTCTTTATCTTTATTCTTTTTAAGGAGTTTCTAGCTTTATTTGAATACCACATAAATAAATAATATTGAAAATAAACTAAGGATTGAAATGAGCGCAAGATTTGTAATTTATGTAGCTTTTGTCCTTCCAAATAGTTAGAATATAGAAATATATGGCTAGTATAAACTGTTTGAGGATAATAGATACAATTAATCTAAAAGGGATAATAGTCAAATTGTCTTTCTTGATAAGAGTTACTATTATTCTAAATCACTTATATAAGTTTGTAGATACTAAGACTAGCATTATAAACATAACATACAATTCCATATTGTTGTTCTTTTTATGAATAAAGAATAGATTTTTAGGCTAGCCATTGTCTTAGTAAGACTACCATGCAATATTTTTTATATTTTTTTTTTATGTTTATATGACATTTCAGGATGGTATAAAACTTTAGGAAATCGCAATTATCATCACCGAAGAGATTCATGTACAATAATCTAAATAAAGCTACTATACTTTTCTTTGTTCTTGAATCACGTTGTAAACTAAGCTACTTATTATGTCTCTTCTTCATAATATTCTTTCCTTTTTGGAAATTTATCTTTCTAAGTTTTATGTGATATATAATCTGTAGTGTGTTAGATATTATTGTTTTGAATGACTCTCTACTATTTCCACTTAAAAATTAAGTAATATTTTTTATAAAATTATGCTGATATAAATTTATCATAGATTTATGTTTTCATATATGCATTGATTGCTTTTGTATATTATGATTTTTATAATTTTTAATAAGCACATCTTATTAGACTATCCATAAGTTGCACATATGCTTGAATATATTAAAGTTTTCACTTCATCTGTTGTCAACAGATTTAAACAAGAGCAGTTTATTTGCACTAATACCTTTAATAACAAAGAAACAAATAATTAAATATTTAAAGATGGAGATATTAACATGCATTTCAATGAATAATCCCACAATGTCTTTTTCGACAAATTCTATCTCAGGCACCAGTCCTACGATGCCTTGCTAATCAAGGTCATGTTTTCCTCACATGCAATCGGTCCTTTCATTGCATTCTCCAACGAGATCTTGTTCTTGCATGCACTCAATCCTTTTGTCACCATCTTTAGCACGAACTTTTATTTGGTCCGATGAACGTACGCAACTATACGTTCGGCCGCCAGTAGAATCGCGCCACGCGTTTTCATTATTTACTGCGCACCCCGACAACCCGACCCAGAATGGACCCAAGATTGCTCGGTATTGCTAGGTATTTGTCGATTTTGCTCGGCAATAACCAATACCGAGCAATACCGAGCAAATACCTAGCAATACCGAGCAAATACCGAGTTGTACCGAGTTGTACCGAGTTGTAAAAAAACTCGGTACAAATCGGTATTTGCATGGTATTGGTCTTCACAGAGTGGTATTTCTCATTTTTGCAAAGCAATACCTAACAAATACCGAGCAATACTGAGAAAATCGCAAACATAACATTCCCGGGTTCCGCTCCGGGTCAAGTCGTCGGGCCGCGCGGTAAAAAGTAAGAGCACGTGGCGACATGTTATTGGCGGCCGAACGTAGCTCTACATCCGATCAGAGGACGTAATAATTGTTCCTTTAGCACGCGGATAATTTGAATTGAAAAGTAGTCCACAAATACAAAAATGGACAATTTGTATTGAAAGAACTTTCTAGCATATATATACATATATTTGTTAAAACAAGCAACATGATTATTTGATCAATGACATGCATTATGAGGTTATATTTCTAGTATTTTTTAAGTGGCAAAAGAACCTATGTGAATATATCCTTCTCGTAAGAGTAAAAGATTGTAATTTTATAGTAAAAGGGTGTTGAAAGAAGGAATATATACTTTTTGCACATTGTAAAGCTCAACTTTAGGACTTTTGAAGATAAGCCAAAGCCATTTGGCTGCATTCCCCACACGCAATCTTTCATTGTTATTATCTACTCATTTCTTGAAACTTCTCCAATGACCCATAAAATTAAATGAGAAGCTTAACGGGGAAAAAAAAATTTAAGTCTGCATAAAGCCAATATAAGATAACGGTTACTTTGTCCAGCTCATTTTGATCCATTCAGCTCTCTAGCCTTTGGTATTGATCAGTAAAGACTGAACTTACGACTATGCTGGAAAAAAAAAAGGTTACAAGTGCGATTTATAATGATGGATTATAGGTGAGTTATAACCAAACCAAAGCTGTTAGCTTTAACGGTAGCCCATTGTTTCTGATGTTTTGTTCTCATATAACTTCAAAGTTGAAAAATATTTATCAAAATAGCGTGCAAGCTAGATATGAAACGTCATCAACCACTTGGAAGGCAATTTTTCATATGTAATAGATAAAAGGTAGGGGTGTCAATTTTGGATCACGGGTCGGGTTCTGGTCGAATTAGGAACTGACTCGGCTCTATTCGGGTTCAGGTCAACCCGACCCGTTTTTGCAAACGGGTCAATTTTCCGGACCCGAACCCGACCCGCTTCTGGTCCGGCATTTTCCACACGGCTGCACGCGATTCGGTCCTCCGAGTGTCCGGCAGCAGGACACGACAGCAACCGCGCCGGCGGGGCATCGACAGCGATGCAGGCAACGCGGGGGCCGGCTACGACGTGACACGAGCAGGAGACGCGCGTCAAGCGCGGACGCTAGACTCGACCCTCAACCCGATGCGATTCGACGCGAAAATCATGTCTATAACAA